AACAGTCAATGAAGACGAAGAAGAGAATGACGTGTTCTCCCGGTGCCTATTTATACTATAGTCGCACCGGTAGTGACGTCATGGGCTGTCGCCGGCCAACGTGTTGTTGGTGTTTTTTGAATGTATGCTTCAAACACGGGTCACGACGAGGTGTTCCCCATAGCGACCCCTAGAGGACGCAGTTTGAAGTTCCCTTGAAAGGGAATCACTGTTATCTTGAATCTTGTCAAATTCTGGAGGTGTGTGATTATAAATTATTCCATAATATCTTTTATATTGAAAAAGAAGCATTCAAACAGATAAATGAAGGTGCGGAGAAGTCAAAACAATGAATACCAAATACATTGCATTCAAAATTAATGATATTACTTTTTAAAGCTGCAGAGAAAGAGCCGGCGCAGAGCCAAAAAAGAGGGGAAAGTGCAGAGAAAGACAAATAAGCTGTGATAGGGACAGAGAGAGTGTGAATGCAGCGTTTGTGAATGCGACCTCAGATTACAGACTGCTGTTAAAGATTATCCAGCCCCTTGGGCCATTTCATTCCAAACATAATCCTGCATTCAGAGTTCATGTTGTTTTTCCACTTTATACCACATGGCCTATTTCTCCACTGCACATTGTTTCATTCACAAGTACAACCCCCCCTTTATAGCGCTTCTGTGTGGACGTGCATGGAGAATGTGCTGGCTAGACACTGAGTCCCGGGCAACCACAATGAGGTGCATGCGTGGGAGGTCGTGCTTTTAGAGTCATTCAAGCATCCAGAGAACAACTGGCTCCTTAATGTCTGCAACTGTGTTGTTTGTTCTTAGGGGTTAAAAATAGATGTACATTTGAAATTGATCTGTTTGTCTTTGTCCAGTCACATACAGAATTGATTTTAGAGTGTAAACTTTTAAAAATTGTTCAATTACTAAGGAACTAAATATATTGTATATATGTTTACTGCATATAATCCTAATAGTTTAGTTTGGTTTTGTGATTTTAAGCTGAATGGGTAGAAAATTATTATTCTCAACTGTCATCCGCAGACAGATAAAAAATATTACAATGATGTGAAATACATATTTTGTCAGGCAAGAAATTATTTCAATCAGTGCAATTACAACATAAAAATATAATAGCTCAAAATATCACACAATGCATCAGGTTGATATGTCATGATACATTTCCTAATCTTATTTGATAACTTATTTTAAATATCACATTACTTGTTTGGTGTCTCAGAGACATCAGATATAGCTAAATAAAATGACTAAAATTGTGATAAAATTGTCTGATAATACATACTACACTCCTGCTATCTGCTATTTTAATTGCTTAATTTTTGTTGTCTATAAAAACTTCAATAATATCTGCTGCGTTTTGATGAGGTCAGATGAACAAAATATTTTGTTGGAAAAATCAGGTAAATTTTGAAATTACTATTATTTTTACACCTGCATATAATAAAAAACCTCTAAGATTTTTATGATCAAATTAACTAGAAATAACTAGAAATGTCTATGGTTCCTTTTAAACAGTGTTTAGATAATATGCCACCTGCAGATGTCAGATTCACAGTCACATGATGTGAAAACACAACTTTTTACCTCTGACTAAATACTGGGCTGTAATGCACTTTGGAATGCATTATGTTATTTTTAATAAAACAATAAAATGATAATATATTATTTTATCTGACCACTATTTATTGGTCCACTTTTCTTATTTTTAATAAACATTTTTTGTTCTTTATTCATTATATTCTGAAATTATTATAAACTTGACAGATATCTTCATTTCTATTTTTCCTAGTTTGCAAAGCACTTATATTGTATATAAACTGTTTTATAGCAATACATAGCTACACTTGCATTGTTTGTGTGCTTTGGTTTTTCTTAGCATCTTTTGTCTATTTGTCATTTTAGCAGTTATTCTCTGCTGACAGCTTGCATCACCCACTGAAACTGTACACCTATATGGAAAGTTGCAGCGCGGTGTATTTTACCCACACAAAATTACATGGTACGGTCAAGCATGAAAATACACCATCGCCTTCAGCGCGTGGTTTGATGTTCCTGATTTAACGATGTGACCTTGCCCAAAGCCCCCAGGCCAACCACAAAGATGTCATAATAGACTGTATTCAAACGTGTGTGTGTGTGTGTGTGTGTTGTGGTTTTATGCCTCTATGGTACTGCTTAAACTCACGTCACAAAATAAAAAACACGGGTAACCCCAACGACCACGTGCCAGTGGGAAAAGAGGGGAGAGCGCGCTCCTGGCCCAGCTGCGCAACGGGGAATTCTCTCCGGTGGTGGTCCTGGATGAAAACGGCCGGTCGGTCAGAGATCTGAAGAGCGAGAGTCTGGCCAGTCTCCTCCTCGGTGCCCTTCAGTCAGAGGTCCAGTCTGCCTCGACGCACATCTGCTTCTTACAAGGTAAACTTCACAGAACTAGACATGTTGTCCTTGATTTTTTGGGGAATACTGCAATTCAGTTCCAAACGGCTATATTTTATATATTTCCTTACACTGTAAAAATGGTCTAAAACATCTAAATTACATTTAAAGGTGTGTGTGTGTGTGTATATATATATATATATATATATATAATATATATATATATTCACATACATTTATTTTCACTGTAAAAATGGCAAGTAGGCTACACTACAAAACATTAATGTGGCAACATCTGATTTGATTTGGAATAATATGATTTGACCCCGATTTGACCTGACTCATGTACCATATACTATATTATCTTCTATTTCAACGAAAGTAATTAGATACTATAATTCTGTATTTATATTATCTGTTGGAAAATGTATCATATTTGCAAACTGCATAAACAACTTTGCTTTATACACTGTAAAAATGTTTTGTCAGGTAACATAAAAATGTGCTTCATGTGGTAACATCTAATTCAACTGGTTTTATTCAAGTCAAAAATAATTACAAATATATATAAAATATCAGAAAGAAGAAATGTGCCTTGTTTTACAGTGTATTTCATTTGCATCATAGGTTATTTCTAATCAAAAATGTAATTTGGTCATATAAGTTTGCACTTTGGAGGCTTATTACAAATTCGTCGAGATGTTTACTTGCTCCGTTTGTCAAACCTGGTAAAACGAAATGCACAGAATTAACAACAAAATGTTTTCTTTGACCATTTCTAGGTGGATTTGACGGGTTCTTCGCACTTTATCCAGAGCTCTGCTTTAGCCCTCCTGTCATGTGCTCAAATCATCCTGCTTTCAGTGATTCAGAGCCCATTGTTTCCGGAAGAAAGACTCCTCTCTATGATCAGGTTGGCTATTAGAAATCTCAAAATCATAATGAATTATCTAAATTGAAATCACAATGTCTTTCGAATACACTCATTGACCTTTGTCCTTTGTGATTTCTAGGGTGGTCCAGTTGAAATCCTCCCCTTCCTCTTTCTGGGCAGTGCGCATCACTCATCCAGACGGGAGACTCTGGAGCGATGCGGGATCACGGCTGTGCTGAACGTATCCTCTTCCTGTCCCAACCTGTTTGAAGAGGAACTTCAGTACAAAACTCTGAAGGTGGAGGACAGTCTGGCCGCAGACATACGTGTCCTCTTTCCAGAGGCCATCCACTTCATCGGTAAGTCCTGTGGTATCAACAAAAAGACATTTCTTAATTCTTCAGAAATATAATAATGACATAAAAACTAATGCTCACCTCCGCTGCATCTGCAGATTCAATAAAAGAGAGTGGTGGTCGAGTGCTGGTCCACTGTCAAGCAGGAATCTCCCGGTCAGCCACCATCTGCCTGGCGTACCTCATTCACGCTCGACGTGTCAGTCTGAACGAGGCCTTTGACTTCGTAAAATGCCGCAGACAAGTCATCTCACCCAACTTAGCTTTCATGGGCCAACTTCTTCAGTTTGAGACAGACGTTTTGTGCCCCTATTCTGTAATAGACAGAGAGAACAGTGGCACATTTTGAACTTTAATATCTTGAACTGGCCCCTCTAACTTTCAGAATACAGATCTACTGGCCACAGCTTTGACTTCAAAGACTGTGACAGATCTGCAAAGGTGCTTTCAGGAAGTTTTAGTTCGATGTTATCTATGGGTGTACAAACAGAGAGATATGAGACTCTTAATAAGGGGACCAAATGAGGCATCTCACCCTTTAAACTACACCATGACATAACTCAACTTGTTTGGGTAATGTTGTAGATGGCATCAACTGACTACCTGTTCTTGATTGTTTATGGCAATACAAACTATACATAGATAAATGCCTTTCTGTGTTTCCAAACAACAACGGCATCGCTGACACACTGCTACACCCAATAGCCCTCATGGAAAATGTAATAATCACATGTCATTTTGACATTGTACTACTGACCCAAGATAACTTGTATATGAGATATTGATGAAACAGACAAACAACTTCTGTCATGCAAAACTGGGTAATGTAGGCTACTAAAGCATTTTGTTTTCATTTTAGTTTCAATGGTAATATACGTTTGGGGTGTATCATCATACTGTGAAATTGTGTTGCATCAGTCAATGTTCCATTTGACTGCAGTGACTGATGCTGTGACCATATAAGGCTGTGACGTGTGGTTAGTCTTCTGTCTGGTAAATGTCAAGATTTTCCATGAAGTTACTGTCTAATTGTCAGTCTCGAGCAAGTTTTAAAGGGCAAAGACCTGACAAACTGTGATCTTAGGTCATTTTAAAAGTAAGTTTAATTGTGTTGCGATAGATAACAGGCACTAAAGCCATTTTGTATTTTTTTTTATAAAGTGTTATTTTATTTCCTTTTTTTTGTGAATATTTATTTATATATTTTCATTCAAGCAATGCACTTTAAATTACAATTGTTTTGATAACAATATCTTTTGTAAGCTGTGTGGTTCACTTATTTCAATATGTAAATAAATGGGTTCATTTGTTTAATGCAGAAGTGAATGTAGTTGTCTTTTTTTATTATCGTGTTTTAAATTATTACTTACAGAAAACTTATGGTCCTAAGAGCCCCCAGGGCTCCAAATTCTTTGTAGGCCACCCTCCATGTGTGAATTAAAGCCCAAGTAATTAGACATTACTTAATATGAGAAATGTAGCCACAATTAGCAGTTATGAGAATTGCACATTACATTTTTTAGGTTTTTGAGAGAAGTCTCTTATGCTCACCAAGGCTGCATTTATTTGATCAGAAAATAACTTTTTTCTATTTTAATGTTTCAAAAATGACATTTGTATGTAAAGCTGTATTTTCAGCAGTCATTACACCTGTCTTCAGTGTCACATGGCCCTTCAAAAATCAGTATATCAAACATGTTGATGATTTGGTGTTCAAGAAATATTTCTTATTATTATCAATGTTGAAAACAATTGCCCTAATTAATATTTTTTTTGTGGCAACCATGATACATTTTTTTTTCTCAGAATTTTTTGATGAATAGAAAGATCAAAAGAACCGCATTTACTTGAAACAGTAACCTTCAGTGTGTTGTGGCTAAAAGGTTTCAGTTACTTAAAAAATATGACTTGCCCCAAACGTTTGCAAGTTAGTGTTGTAATATTAAAGAGATCAGAGCGGCAGAGGTGTCATAAACAGATAACATTGCTAATTTCTTTTTTTTTTTTTCACATTGTTGCAGTAGTCATTGGCACACATCTTCCCTTGCTCATTGCTGTGGTAATCACACAAATGTATCAATATGGAAATTGGATTACTACAGTACATGATATAAGCAGCTGAAATCTTTTACCACAGCGCCATCTACTGACGAAGTAAAATTAGCTGACTGTACCTGTCAAGCATTAATACAGGAGACCACAAAGTGGCAGTATTAGACTATAAACCTGAGTATGAGCAGGGCTGCGTTCAGCCCCGACAAAAACGGTGCACAACGTTTTTTAAACGGAAACGGTGGTGCATTGAGCACCAACAAGAGAAAACGTATCTCAAACCCCGTTGCACACCGTTGCACACCGTTTCCAGGAAACATGTCGTTCAAACCGGAAACCGTAGCAAAACGGTGCACACCGGTTTGAGCTTGAACTTGCCCCAGGTCTCTAACGAACACGATTTATGATGATGATGTTGTTGATGATGATATTGTAATTTTTTTCCCAAATATCTCTGTGATAGCTGAATGCGTTGAAGGTGAGCAAATACCAATGAAGAAGTAAAGCAAGAAATACAGTTTTTTTTTTGTTGTTTTATAACTTTGGAGCGTTGTGTGGAATTCATCAGCAAATCAGAAATCAACAATCAAGGAGCATGTGGGGTGATTGTGTTACAGAAGGTCATTGCTGCCTACAGCCATCAGCATCTACAACTCTTTCATTGTGAGCGTGGACATGGAAAACACTTATTTGTTTAGCCTGTGATGACAGAGCTGATATGCTCTCTCACATCTCCCTCAAAACTCAGAACATCATCTGAAACGAACAGCTCTGGTGTGAAGCTGTCTGGCAAACATTTGAACTTATTTGCTTACTCAGGCAGCTTTAAATTGGATCCAGCCTTAACTGTTTCACTTTTTTTTTTTCAGTTCCATTGAGGGCCTCTCAATATTTCTGAATTACATTTTACCCAGTAAATATTTAGGCTGTTAAAGTTCCTACACAGTAACTGTCTCATATTCAAACTTTTCATTTGACACTATTTTTCCGACCGCAGCAATTTCTGCCTTTTTTTTTTTTACTTTGAATACCTAAACAGGTAATTCAAATAATGCTTACGACAGGCTATGGGGAATATTGGCAGTCTTGTCGGCTCCAGTGCACTTTGTCAGCTAAGTGAATTTGGAAAATCTGAATGTTGCCCAGGGTTAATTCTGTTTGTGAACTCTCACGCCATCAGTTTGCTCATAACAGCAGGAACATGATAAAGCCACAGTGGGTTTACTTTTGTTTGGGAATCAAGTTTGCTTCAAATAACTGTCCTTAAATGCTGATCGGTATGCAGCTATTGCTTTCATTGCCATTAGAAACCGCAGAATTAGAACAGTGAAACATTCATAATCTCCCTCCTACTCTTTTTTTTAAAAAGAACTTACAAAACTTTCTGACATAATTGGTCTGTAATATATTGCATATCCAAGTCATAGGCTAATAGGTAAACGGATCAATTAAACTATTTTTTTTTTCAGATGCCAATAATATAAAAATGGCCAAATATCCCCTTGTGAAAGAGAAGTACATTTAGCATACTTTTAAGAAAGGAAATAATATATTTATATAATAATGTAATAAATTTCAAATTATATATAATGTTTTCAGACACTTGATTGCATGTTATTTGCAATTAAATGAAAATGGATTATAGTTTAAATTTATATAAAATGTATTTAGCTTGTCTGGCATAATAGTACTTAATTAGATCTTTATATTTAACTTCATAATTACTTTTGTTGCCTTTGATATGAAATATCAATGAAGTGTATTGCTGTATGAACTGACAAGCAATTATGGTAAACAAAAATTTGAGTGATGTGAGTCAACACATCAAAATAAGTGTACTTCTTGAAAGTATGGAAATGATTTTTTTTAAAAATATGATTTAAAATGCACTTTAGAGTAAAACTTTTAATTTGACATTATTACAAACTTTTTAAAAGTGTACTTGTGTATTAAAAACATGAAGACACTAAGTACTCTCTCTGCAGGTTTTATTTCATTAATATTATATTATATGCAAGTATAGTTATATATGCAAGTTGTTTTAATACACTTCTACGATTTGAAGTACACTGCAATTATACATTCAATACAATTAAGTGCACTTCTTTTTCACAAAGGTTGGCAAATTAAACAGCCTATCTCATATATCACTCTATCACTAAGAAGAAAATGACTTCTCTCCTGAAGGAACATCATGACCCTCTTGAAAGCTATTGGGGAAAAAGTACAGTAAATGCAGTTTCCAAAGAGAACTTCATTCTCAGGAGTGCCATGATCTTAAAAGGCATACAGACATTAATGGGAAATAAATAATATGACAGGCAGTGGAAATTTTAACACCATTAAAAATTAGTCACGCATTTTAGTCAATATGCCTTAATCAGGTTATACTCCATGCTGAATTTAAAAACGGAAGAAAAAGAGGTTGTGAGAGAGCAGTCTTTACAGTTGCGAGTTTTTGTCAACTGATTTTTTTTTTCGAAAAGACTTTTGTCAGCTGAACAATTTGTTATGTGGTTAAACAACAGTACTACTCATTGAAAGCACTATACTATCCCGCATAGCCTCATTTTCATTATTGTCAAAAATTAAATATAGCGCCACACTCACTAAGGTCTATAAGAGTAGGCTTAACACAGTTTTGGATCATGCAGAATGCTTCAAAAGAAACACAACCCAGTGAATGAGTCACAAGATCGTGTTGTATTCTGACCTTGACACAGCTGAAAAATTGACGCATGAGTGAATGTCATCCTGCAACAACAAAAACTTGAAGGACTTTTGTATAAATAAAAGATTGATCAAAATACATTGATGCTTAAATGAATGCTGGACCAATGAAGAAAGAATTAGGTTAATCACCTTTCAAAATTATGGTTAAATATTCTGTTTTGTCCATAAGGGGGCAGACCTCACTTCAGGTTTATAAATGAACGTCTATCTATCTATCTATCTATCTATCTATCAAAAATACTCAAACATTTCTATAAAACCTAGTACTCCACAGAAGAGCTCTCTGTACGAAAGACTGCTTCGTGCAAATATTTAAAATATATATTTTTGCATACTGGAAATGGTTCGACTCATTCGACCCTTTTGACACAACGTCCTATGTTCTTTGCTAAAATCACGACGGTAATACAGGTGATTCAGGAAATATAAATTCACTGATCCTAATGGAAACGCATGAATTCTTCATGAGTTCTTGAATTCTCCAAAATGTGTTATTTGAATTGCATCCACTACACGCCTGTATTTGTTTTATGTTTGACAATAGAGTGTTAGGATAGGTCAGGCTTTTCAGTGGGAGGGAAGAGTTCGCCTCATGACGCCCGTCCTGACATCACTTATACTGGGGTACTGAGGAGAAGCGTTGCGTAGAGATGAAGCCAGAGCGGCGCACGCGAGCCGCACCGACACTTCAAACTGTCACTGAGGTAATACGCGAGGCACGCAGGAGGCATACAACTCTCTGACTGAGATACTGTGACTAAAACGGGAGAAACACGGCTGGAGAAGGACGGCAAACTGTTTTCAGACATTATCCTTCTTTTTAGTGCTTGGACATACCCGACTCATTTTGGCGTGCCTCTGATTCCTTATTAAGCCGACTTTCTCCACTCAGGAATGTAACAACGGCACAACTACAACAGACTCCATCATTTATCAGGGTAGTTGTTGCGCTTAAATTCTTTTTGCAAACTTGTGAAAACTGTGAGGGGGAAACTGGCACACCGCCGCGCGCTGCTGTGTGCTCTCTGGAGATTTATATTTAAAGCCTTGCGTTCCGTGGAGGGTTGTGCATCTGGGTAACCTAGATTTAAGCATTCAAATATATTTGTTTTGTAAGCACTTGGCGAGAATCTATAACGTTTTTATTCGTAATTTGAACTTTAGAATGTTTAAAAGGTTATAATTGAATAATTGTTACTCAAATCATTTATGGAAGCACAATATTACGCAGCTATTTCATATTGTCAATGAATCTATTTGTGACAGCATTGCTGTTTTTTTTTTTGCACTGGGCGTTTTGTTTGTTGTTTTAGTTTTAGTTTTTCCTCTCACGTTATCTGTCTTCTATAAAACATTCAGAAGCTGATAATTTAGCGACAGAACCATAAATTATTATTGATCAGAACCGTAAATTATAATTAAATATATGTAATCTCTCTGACATTTAATTTATTTGATGGCTGTCCTTTAAATTAAGTTGCACGTTTCCATAACTGTTCCATAACCCAGATGACGCTTATTCCAAATTTGAGGCAAAGTAATAAAGTATTAACACTCGAGATGTCACATAAAAATGGCTGACAGAATCTTTTCGCAGTGAGCAATGTATTAATTCGATTATGCGTAAAATTGTTTATTTAATTTCAACAAAATATATTTTACTAAGTTCTTAGAAGAAGAAAAAACACCTAAACGAAATTATTCAATTTATTCTGCCCACATTTGGATTACTAATAGAGAAGGTTAATCCACGTGTATTCTCAGTTGCCGCGCTGTGGCAGTCATGGCAAGCGCGTGCTCGGCAGGCACGGGTCTGCATGGCCACACCATCAATGGCACTGGAGGCACGTCTTCACCGATTTGTAACCAGAGTATGTTAAAACCCCCTCCTTACACTCCAGAAGCCACAGCAGCCTTTGCAACAGCCATCACATTGATGATTCTTTTTACAATTGTTGGCAATATTCTTGTCATCATCGCTGTTTTAAACAGTCGCTCGCTCAGAGGACCCCAGAATCTCTTCTTGGTCTCCCTTGCGGCTGCAGACATTTTGGTGGCCACCCTCATCATCCCATTTTCACTGGCCAATGAACTGATGGGCTACTGGTATTTCCGCTCCGTATGGTGTGAGATTTACCTGGCGTTGGATGTGTTGTTCTGCACTTCGTCTATAGTACACCTGTGCGCTATCAGTCTAGACCGCTACATGTCTATCTCACGTGCTGTCACGTACGGCGCACAGAGGACACCCAAACGCATCAAATGTGCCATTTTGGTGGTGTGGCTGATCTCAGCAGTCATCTCCTTCCCACCACTACTCTCCATGAACAAGAACAAAGGTGATGCAGGAGGGCTGCCACAGTGTGAACTCAACAATGAGCGCTGGTACATCCTGTACTCTACTATCGGTTCCTTCTTTGCTCCTTGTCTGATTATGATCTTAGTCTACATGCGGATCTACCAGATCGCCAAGCAGCGCACACGATGTCCACCAGGAGAGCCCCGCAAAGAGGTCCCAGCCAATGCGGCAACCCCTCAGCACAAGGTCCACACGGAGGGTCTACAAAACGGAAGGGGAGATGAAACGCCCTCTACCTTGCAGAAAAAACCCAGGCCTCCGACTCTGGCTGTGTCCCAAGTGGAGTCCATCCAGCAGGCGGCGAGCCCTCCAATCTCCAACAAACATCTGCAACCCCCTTTGACAACCCTGACACTGACCACGCCGTGCCCCTCCCCGTCTCCTTCGAATTCATCCGAAATGGCTCCTAATAAACCTAAAGAGGGGAAAAAGGCGAAGAAGACCATGAAACAGCCTGACAACAATAACGGAGAGAGCATGAGCTCTGACTCAGACACTGAGCAAGGTGGGAGGGAGTTAGAGGTCCCTTGTACCCCGAGCATGACACCCAGTGGCATCCATTCCCCGGCCACCATCCAGAAATACAGAGACATGATCGCCACCACCAAAGGTGCCAAATTGGTGACCCGGAAGACGAAGCAGGAAGGAACGCCCAACTCCGCACGGCGCAAAGCCATGGTGAACCGAGAGAAGCGCTTCACCTTTGTGCTGGCGGTGGTAATTGGCGTCTTTGTCATCTGCTGGTTCCCTTTCTTCTTCTCGTACAGCCTACAAGCTGTGTGCCCAGAGACGTGCACCCTGCCAGAGCCACTCTTTAAGTTCTTCTTCTGGATCGGCTACTGCAACAGCTGCCTCAACCCAGTCATCTACACCATCTTCAACAAAGACTTCCGCAGAGCCTTCAAAAAGATTCTCTGCAAGAACACCAAAGGCACATTCTTCTGAAGCTCCTGAAGTGGATCATCTCATCAGACAACAAACATACGGCTATTCAGAACACAGACTTCAGAAAAAGATGAAAAGAAGCACAATAACAGTGCTGTTGCGATGTAAACGAAGGGCTTTTTGTGCTGCCCGGTGAACTGAGGGCACCATGCTACTCAAATGACTCTTTCTTTGTCCAGGTTACCGCCTCTGGCATTGGATTCCTGGTATTTGTGCTATAAAATGGGGCTAATCCAAAAATATTCACAGACACTGACAAATCAAAGCTGAAAACAAAATAATTTACAGGGACTATCGCACACCTGCAAGGACAAGCCACATGGAGGTCAATACGAAGGTTATTGTATTTTTTTTTTCTCATTTCTAAGAACACCAGGCCTTGGGGATACTGCATACATGGATTTCTCTAAGGATTTCAGAGGTACACCATTCAGAATCTTTACATACAGTTTTTCCATGCTGATTGGTTTACCAATGCCTACACAGCATCATTTCTGAGGAACAAAGACATGAAATGCTCCTGTGGAAATCCTTGCCAGGGGCAATGTGTAGGAAAGAGGTGACGCAAGTTTCTCCGATCAAACATTAAGGCTTCTAGTTACAGACCCCCCCTAGAGTAGGACCATTGGGGAGTTTTTCTGGCATTCTGTGATGCTGAAAGGCTCTGTGAATACAGAATACCTGCCATGGATGGAAGCCTTTCTTTCTCTTTCCATCTTGGACAGGTTGGCAGCAGGCTTTAAGATAGCAAAATGTTTATTACAGGAACTTTAGATATGTATTCATATCGAAAGTCATTTTCATTTTTAATATGATAAGACTCTTTGCATCATCAAAAATGACTTTAGACTTTGGTAACTGTGTCAGATGACACAAACACCTCCAGATTTCACTGGAGGTGCTCTTTCTGACTCGGTTCAGCACTTTGCTTTGTATAAAAGAACAAATTATCATTTGTTGGTGTACACTGATCTACTGCACCCTAAATGTCTGAGCATTCAGCAGGGTGATACTTTGGGACTAAGGGCTGATAGCAGTGATGCTTTCTATTTCGTTGGTCATTGTCTTTTTGCTAATGATCCCTGTGTGTGTGTGAGCAAATGTTGTGAATGGGTATGTGTTGGGTCTGACTGCAGTGTATGTTTGGAAATGTATGCTGTGTGCGAGAGGGTGTGCGAATGTTGTTGTGCAGAGTTTTCTTTGTGTAATGGTGTGTGAGTTCACATCCCTCCCCTGATTCCCCTGGCACCAGTTCAACTATATATGTATGTGCTTGATAAATGTGGCTGGTTCGCCATATCTGCCAGTGCTTATGATTCAGCTACTTCTCGTGCCAATGCTTTTACATGTTTTGCTGCTAAACTCATTTAATATCTTCTTAAACCAGAGTTTATTTCAAAATAATCTTTTTATTGCAGGTCATTTTGAACTAATAATTTTGAGACAGTTAGGAAATGAGTTAGAGGAGATGAGAGCTGTAAATTATTCTTATGTGAATGATTTTGTATTTATTTATCCTGCTATTTCTTATTGTTTCCCCCTAATATATATATATATATATATATATTCCATTTTTTCCCAAGGGGAAAACAGACATGAGTTCCGTTTCGGCTACAACACAATTAAAAAGCCTTCTACTGTGCTTTTTTTTTTTTTTTTGGTATGACTTTTGTATGTGTCAGGACATTGCATTCAGGCTGCATTCTCATAAGCTTTGCAATTGATGGGATCCTGGTAACTGTATCCATTTTGCCTCCTGGACTCCTCTTTCTTCAGTGTAATGCTGTTGGTTTTCCACTGCTCTTGAAAAATAAAACCGCTAAGCTGTGTGTGCCAACTGACTCATTGCTGTCAGAGAATAACTATGGTGCTTTTAATGCAGATGAACAGATTTTTATCTCAGCACACGTCATTGGGACACATTAAAAATTATGCAAAGAAAATGAGGTTTTACTAATGGCAAGGCTTTATGAAAACCAGGCATTTAAAATTCCTTCTCCAAAACAACTCTAGAACAAAATTGTCAACAGATCCTTGTTGTTTATGTGGAATGGACAACAGTATGCCTCACTTTCCTTATTCATTTGTATGATTTTTACAGATTTTAATGCAAATATACTAGTAACTACTATAGATATAGAGAGAGGAAATTTGTATTCAAAAGGGAAGATGTTTTGACATATTAGAATATGAGATTAATTGGTGTTTTGGCAGATGTATGTTGATATGGTTGGATAAACTCTCAGTCTCCCCTAAGGTCAATTTGACACCCTCCAATCCTTCTTTAAAAATGAATATTCACAGGCATGATTGCGTTAGGAATGGTGATGTTTCTGAACACAATGCAGGCATGAGATTGAGGATTAATGCTGGACTGTTTAATACTAAAATGCAGGTTCAGCTTCTTTGATGTTAATTGCCTTTTTATCAACACTGCACTTTAAAAATAATGGAATATAATTTTTTTTTTAAATATTATGTGTATTTTACAAGATAAGAGGCAGACTCTCTGAACTCAAACAGGGACAGAGATTAATTTCTGGTAATTGCAGGAAGATGCTGCATTTATAATTAAATAATTTTGTATGAATTAGTAGCCTACCCTTTTTCTTAAGCATTTACATGTAAGGTCATGCTCTGGCAGAGCCTCAGACTCTTGATTGCTTTGCTTTGTCTCACAGAGAAATTGAAGAATATGAAAACATCATTCCAGGGAAACGAACATTCCAGAGCGTCAGGCTGTCTGTTAAGAACATCTTTCAATTAAACAAAATACAAGTTGCAGGCAAAATTCAGAAAAACATTTTAGACACACGGTCCGGTTAATGCAGGAACAGAAACGTTTGGGAAAATTTGAAACCTATTTTTTAAACAACAGAATCTAATTAGTGGTTAAGTAAGAGGCTGGCAGTGTGGGGTAGCTATTAGAAGACATGCAAACACATCTTTGCATCCAAAGCCCACTCTCAATTTGCAAAATAAAGTAAAAGAGCTTTATTTAGTCTCTGAATCCAAATGTGTATTGGGACAATGAAGCGAAACTTTAAGGTCATGTCACAGAATCTTACGGCTGATATGAACCACAAGAAATCTTCCCAAAGTTTTTAGAGCTTTGTTTGCGATGTGTATAATAAAAAACAACAACTCCTAATCCAGAATCTTTAATCCTCTCCAGAATAAATTGTTCACAGTATCTAATGGATAATGTACATCGAGCTGGTGATCAGGACCCGAAGGGATCTTTTATTACCCTGAAGGGGTTTATTTATCAAAACCCACCAGCTGGATGTACATTACCTTGCTTATTACATGGTTATTTGAGTTTAACGATTTTATTGTCTCACTAAATGTAAAGCTCCTAAAGTTCCTATAGCAAGTGGCTTTAAGGCAAATTCTAACAAGACGAATATTTAAAGGATAACGTATTTTACCTGTTTATTATCTAATAATCCATTACAGTGTACAGTTTTCCTGGCAAGAAGATGAACACAACAAGAACAACATTACAGCTCTATTAATAAGCAATCTGTTAGACGGTGTTGCTACTGATGCTGATCATTATCAGGGAATAAAAGACCTCACAATGTGACTGACAAATCATAATTTAGAGAGCCATGCAATAGTAAGGTTCCCGAAGTAAAAATCCTATTGATTTTCAGTTGAACTTTTAAACCATTAAAGGCAGGCCTAATGTGAGCTAGGAGTTTGTTAATCAATGGTAAATACTTTTGTTGAAGTCATCAGATCTTCAATTAATTTTCTTAAATAATCATGTTCAACAGCAGAATTCCTGGTGAAAAGCAACATTATTCATGATGCTGCAAAGAAATCTCCACTAATCAGGGAACTGAAACCGTGAATGACGTAATCGAGTCGAAGTCTCCCTATTCTCTCAAACTACTTTAATATTTCTACTTTGATTATGTAATTCGCAATGCTTTATTTTAGTTCCTGGCAAGAAGATGAACACAACAACAACAACATTACAGCTCTATTAATAAGCAATCTGTTAGACGGTGTTGCTACTGATGCTGATCATTATCAGGGAATAAAAGACCTCACAATGTGACTGACAAATCATAATTTAGAGAGCCATGCAATAGTAAGGTTCCCGAAGTAAAAATCCTATTGATTTTCAGTTGAACTTTTAAACCATTAAAGGCAGGCCTAATGTGAGCTAGGAGTTTGTTAATCAATGGTAAATACTTTTGTTGAAGTCATCAGATCTTCAATTAATTTTCTTAAATAATCATGTTCAACAGCAGAATTCCTGGTGAAAAGCAACATTATTCATGATGCTGCAAAGAAATCTCCACTAATCAGGGAACTGAAACCGCGAATGACGTAATCGAGTCGAAGTCTCCCTATTCTCTCAAACTACTACTACTCCCTATTCTACTTTGATTATGTAATTCGCAATGCTTTATTTTAGTTATTTCCCTCGTTAAAGACATTAAAGGGATAGTTCACCCTATGCCTTCTAATGCCACCCTAACATTTTGTAATGATTTACATGTTTTTTTTTGTTTGTTTTTTTCTGTTAAAAACTAAATGTGGGTAACCAAACAGTTGCTAGTCACATTGACTTCCATATATGGAAACACAAAAATACTATGGAAGTCAATGGGGACCAGAAACTGTTTGGTTACCCACATTCTTTAAAATATCTTCTTTTGTGTTCAGCAGAAGAAAGAAACTCATACAGGTTTGAAATGACATGAGGCTGAGTGAATGATGACAGAATTTTCATTTTAGGGTGAAGTATCCCTTTAATTACACACACAGTCTTGTACCTTTATGTTTTTGACTGATTTTCAAATACTTTCTTGCTTCAAAGTATGTAATTTATTTTTTACCTTTGGTTTGATTCGTGGCTTATAACTCTTTATGGATTACTTTTTTTTAAAATCCCTATGTGAAAGATTAATGGGAAGAAAATATGAGTTGCTCTCTGTAAATAGCAGCTGGACATATTAGACGCAAATTTGTCGATTACTTTGTCTATTTTTGCTCCACCAACTAAAATATTTCCATATGCAGTTACAACAGAACCTTAATAAATCAGTGTTTTTGAATAAATTATCACTCAGTTAGAAAGACAGAATCTGAATTCTACCTTTACTATTTCGACCATATCATAATGTAGCAGAAAGAACAAGAGTAGTATGTTAGTATGGTATTCAGAATTGGCTTGTCATTATTTAATTGTTGTTGAATAAGGTTTTATTATTTATTTATATATATTTTTTTACAAACCTATTGATTAAATTATTTAATGACCCCCTCATAAAGACAGTCACTTGTTGCCATTTACTGAGTTAATGCTGTAACCTTCAGAAAAGGTCGCTGAAAGATCATAACTGTGTTCTTTAATGTATGAAGCATTAAGAAATGTTATGAAGCAACATCTGTTATGTAAAGCAGCAACATTCTAAAACATCAGATTAGTTAAGAGTATCTCATGTCCTTAATTGACAAGTTCAAAAAGTTCAACAAGTTCAACTTCCTCTTAGGAAGTGTCCCTTATTACCCTCCCTGTAACTGACTTTGCACTGTACTAATCCTAAAGGATATCAAAAAATAACATTAGATTCACACACACACACACACACAGGTTTGTTTTTGTGATGTTGATCCAGGAACATTTCTTACTTGGCAAAATCACGGCGACCGTATGATAAAACCAATGTCTGTATGATTCTGTAAACAAGAGCTAATCCATTTAGTATTTCAGTTTGACCATTTTGTTTCAGAAATATCTTGAGTCTGATATGACAGCACTACAGTTTGTATTTTACCCCTGACCCAAATTCTCATCCATGGAAATTCTATAATGTTCATGTGTTTGTGGGAGCAAATTATTACAGTACATTTAAAAACGGATTTGCAGGACTATGGCTGGGAATGGATGGGAGGAGGAGGAGGAGGGGTTGTTTTTTGGCATAGAAAATCAAACAGGAAATACAAAGTGTGTTCAGTCACAGCCTCATCACGTACCACATCTCATCATGTCTAACAACTGTATCATAATCCACTGAGGATAGCTCTTTTAGGACAAGCACTCAGCCTCAGTGGTGTCTTCACTATCTGAGAGAAAAGCTAAGGGAATTTTTTAACTCAATTTTTTTTTTACTATTAGTGATTCTCTTGTCGTTTAAATGTACTCTTAAAGGCAAAGCATAAGAAATGAGGAAATATTACAGAAAAGGGGGTGAGAATGATTTTCTAATGTTTGACAGATTTGAAGGAACTCGTGTATTGACTGAATGTGAAAAAAGTGCAAAACATATAATCATAAGCATCAATTAAGTGTGAAGGAGATCAAGCACAAGGACATATTTTCGTTTGGTTCTATTAATTTATTTAAAAATACATTAAAATCAAGTTCATACTATACAATAACTCTATGATGAGCATGTTGTAAATTTATGAATTAAAATTAAATTTTTATATTTTTCTGGTTCCATAAAAT